AAAGGGAGGAAATGGGGGCGGTTTTGGAGGCAACGGAGGAAGCTTCGGGGGCAACGGAGGCGTAAACATGAACCACCAGCTGATCAGTGAGGCCTCTGTTGTTCTGTAGAGGATGTTAATTCATATTTAGCATTGATCTGATCACGTGGACTCGTGTGTTGTGTTTGTGTGTCGTCAGGCACCGTGTCTGTCAACGATTCCATTGACGTCTGCAAACATTTCACCAACCTCTGTCTGAACGGACGCTGCATTCCCACGCCGACCAGCTACCGCTGCGAATGCAACATGGGCTACAAGCAGGACGTCCGTGGGGAGTGTATCGGTAAGAACACACTCTCACACACACACAGGTGGAGCTGAGATACCAACGACATCACTGAGCAGTGAAACAGAGACCTGACAGTGACACTAATAGTGTGACCTACACTGCCATCTTCTGCTGATGTAGGGAATAAAACACAGCTACAGCTGAAGGGAACTCAGCTTTAAGAATCATGTTCTGTGTGTTTAAGGTCTATAATTTAATCTTTTTTTTTTTAACTATATTTTTCTATCACTAGATGTGGACGAGTGTGTGAGTAATCCATGCATCAACGGAGATTGTGTTAACACACCCGGGTCGTATCACTGCAAGTGTCACGAGGGTTACACTGGAACGTCTACCAAACAAGCATGCATTGGTATGTGGGATTTAATCTGAGATTGAACCCAGATTATATACAGATATGTATCTAAATCAGAACCATGGTTTATCTAATGTTTCTTTCGCAGACATTGACGAGTGCATTATGAACGGGGTAATGTGTCGCAATGGCCGCTGCGTCAACACAGAGGGCAGCTTCCAGTGCATCTGCAACGCTGGCTTCGAGCTCACCCCTGACAGGAAGAGCTGCATCGGTAGATGAGACAACCCCCCAGAATCAACATTCACATGAACGTGACAAAACCCCGGCCTCATCCCTTCTCTGTCACCTTTTCTAGATCACGATGAATGCGCCACCACCAACATGTGCCTGAACGGCATGTGTATCAACGAGGACGGGAGCTTCAAGTGCATCTGCAAGCCAGGCTTCGCACTAGCACCAAACGGACGCTACTGTACAGGTATGTGAGATTTATGAAGTGGAGACAGTGACCTTAAAAGTAGGGCCAGACTCAAAGAGTCCGCTTTAAACCCCCGCTGACAGATTTGATGTGCTCTTAAACCCCACAGACCCATTTTTGGAGACGACTTGTGCTCTGTTTAGTTTCAGGAAAGAAAAAGACTTAAAAACATTCTTATTGTACTCTCCTCAGGAAGAATCGAGTCGACTGCGTGGATAATAATAGATGACATTATTAGTCTCTGTTGAGTGATTTGGTCTGGACGCCGTAGTTGTAGTACAGACAGCACATGTGAAAACACACACACACACACACACAGGTCTGTAAAAGCCAACTCCTCCTGAGCTGATTTTCTCTCTGAGAACTCAGTGACCTTTTGCAGTTTATATCCTGAAAGTCGAGTCAAGAAAGTCCAGACTAAGATGTAATCTCAGGAACAATGAAGCGACAGGTCACGTGTCCCACGGTTGGAGAATAATCCACCTTCTCTCCATCAGACATAGACGAGTGTCAGACGTCGGGCATCTGCATGAACGGCCGCTGCATCAACTCGGGGGGGTCCTTCCGCTGCGACTGCCCACCGGGCCTGGCGATCGCCGTGGACGCGCACGCACATGAGAACGACATGTTACGGTGCCATAAAGATGGGCACGTGCTCGCGTCCCTTCCCTGGAGCGGTCACCAAGTCCGAGTGTTGCTGCGCTAATCCAGAACACGGCTTCGGAGAGCCATGTCAACCCTGTCCCTCCAGGAACTCAGGTGACTTTAACGATGAGTCGTCGTTTTAAACAATGAAATAATGAGGACATTATTTTCAGTGAAGGAAACACATACAGTATTAATGAGTTTTCTTCTCATCTTTCAGCTGAGTTCCAGGCCGTGTGCAGCAGCGGCATTGGTATCACAGCTGATGGCAGAGGTGAGCGACGCTCAGTTCTTGATAAGAGAAGAAGAAGAACAAACTTTTATAACCTTTCACGTCCTGTATCACCTGTTCTTATAAGATCAGTCGACTGATATTAAATCACAGCCAGAAAGACTGGCTCAATAATCACCAAATATTTATTGCATTTTTTAATAACTGCAATTTCTCAAATATGACATGTTTTTTTTTTTCCTCTTTCTGGATCTTTTTTGACAGTATTTCTATTTACGATGCAGAGGTTCTTCCTTAAATAACTTTTATTATTAATTATTATTATAAGATACTATTTCAGAATGACACGTTTCTCTATTTATAGACATCAACGAGTGTGCCCTGGACCCAGACATCTGTCAGAACGGCATTTGTGAGAACCTGAGAGGAAGCTACCGCTGCATCTGCAACATCGGCTACGAGTCTGACACCAGTGGAAAGAACTGTGTTGGTGAGTCAGAGTCAGAGTAAAATGGATCCTGATAGAGTAGCCAAATATTGTACTCAAGTAAAAGTACTGTTACTTCAGAATAATATTACTCAAGTAGAAGTAAAAAGTAGTCATCCGAATAATTACTTGAGTAATGGAGTAAATGTAACTCGAGTTACAGGCCTCTCTCTCACTCTCTGTCTCTGTCTCTCTCCCACAGATATCAACGAGTGTCTTGTCAACCGGCTGCTCTGTGACAACGGTCTCTGCAGGAACACACCTGGCTCCTACTCCTGCTCGTGTCCTAAAGGATTTGTCTTCAAACCTGACTCAGAGACGTGTGAAGGTGAAAACTTTTGACGAGGGTCGACTTTAGACCGACACCATCATCAGACGCGTTGCCTTTACCTCGGGCTGATCATGCAGCTCTCTGACCAGTCAACATGTTATATTTGGTACCGGCTCAGTGGTGATGAATTATATCACGTGACCTTTGACCCTTTCTTTTTTTTTTTTAACGTCACAGACATCAACGAATGTGATTCCAGCCCGTGCATCAACGGAGTGTGTCGCAATGTGGCTGGGTCCTTCAACTGTGAATGTGCCCATGGCAGCAAGCTGGACTCCACCAACACCATCTGTGTGGGTAAGACATCCAACCCTCTACATGGAAACTGGAACATCACCGCAGGGTCCAGAAAGAGCCTGGTTGTGTGACACTGATCTCCAGTTCAGTGAAATTATTTGGACATCTGTTGAAAAATATTTGCTTAACATTCGCCTCACGGTGGTTGTTTTCCTTTTGTCACTTTTTGTTCAATATTTAGTCTGCATGACGTAGTTTTTTTCTTCTTCTATATTTTATAATGTAAACACAGCCACTTTCATAGCATTGCATCACCTCAACAAATGGGCAAATCCTTCAGGCTACATGTTGGGGTGAGTTTCAACCCCACAACCCTTCCAGACGAGTATGAAGTCATTTTAATATTCATCGTCTGGCTTTTGTGTCTCCGATTATCGTTATAAAAAGAGTGGCTGCATCGACTCGACCACTTACATTCCACGTTGAGGACCACTCCCAGATCTTCTTACGTCAATTGAATCTAGATCAAACTGTCTCAATTTGTAAAAAAAATATTTTTAAAGTAATATTTTTACTATAAATAAAACTCTTCTCCTTGGGTTTAAATATCTTTCAACAAGTGGGAATGGGATTTTTTTTTATCAGTTACAAGTTTGAAGACTCCTTTTGTCTTTCGGTTTTGTCGTAGGCACAGTCCATCTTCTAACTAATGTCCTGTTGGAAACATTCACAGAGAGTTCTCCTCAGATGTTGGGCAACTGGCACACAGACACGGTTTTTGGATAAATACTTGCATGCACGGCCTTGAGTCACATGGTCTTTGCTTTGTGTTTTGCAGATCCACCTCATATTCATTATGACATGTGGAATGTAGGACTGTGCCCAGGTCCAATTGTCTCCTGTTTGGAAGTTTGTTATTTTTGGGGGGGGAAAAAAAGAAATTCTGAGAAAGCCACATGTTAATAAGGAACACAGATGCTATTGTATCTGAAAGGGAGAATGAGTCATTCGCTCAAACGCTCGTTCATTTTGCCTGAGCTGGCGCTGTCAGGGTTTTTCACATTTCTCTGGTTTTGGGGTAATTTCTGTTTGATGGTTTGGCGCTCGTCATTCAGCGGAGGAATAAAAAGGAAGTGGACTGTGGTTTGCGTGTGGGTGGCCAAGTGGTTTTGGAGAAAAAAAAAAAAGGTAGTTCTATGTAACTGTACGATCCTGCAGTTCTTCGTGTCTGCACTGGCACAGAACGCACGGCTACGTCGGGCTTTTGGAGGAACTAGTACTGGTTCAGTATGAGCGTCACCTGGTAGATTGACTCTGTAGAAGACACACCAGGTGAGAACGCTGGTCTGGAACCATAAACACTGAAGGAGACATTTTGACCATTTGACCAACCAGAGAAACAAAAACAACATTTCAACCAATCAAATGACAGCAGCGTTGTGTTGTTGACAATGATTTGTTGTTTAACCTGCTGTACCGCAGCAATCACATGGATGCATAAAATGCAAAACTGTTTTTTGTTTTGCTGTCAGCAAGCAAGGTGACAAACTTTAGTTGATTTAGTGGAACTTATTTTGTTGTTCTGAGAGAAAACTGCTTGGAGTAAAGATTGGAAAATACCAAAGGGTGGAGCTGCACGTGTTTATGTTATGATAATTACAAGCATCAGGAAGTAGAGCGGTTGTTGTTTTGCACCTTTGACGAGAACCAATCAAAACAAATGGCAGAGTAATTACATCGTTATGGGCAAAAACCCCTCAGCTTGGCTTCCATCGCAGCAGTTACAAATAAAGCTGTTAATGTTGATCAAATAAAGGGAGTGGTCAGTACGAGTCGGTCAGTACGAGTCGGTCAGGACGGCTCCCCGCCAGCGGAAAATACACGTCGTACCGAACAGAATTCTAAATGAACCATAACCAACCGTAACAACGTTAACAGCTGAAAGAAGAGTTTTTCTGAAACTTTTTTTTTTTTTTTTTGCCGTTTCCTGGACTCCACAGACAGTATGAAGAGCACCTGCTGGCTGACCATACAGGACAACCGCTGTGAGGTCAACATCAACGGAGCCACTCTGAAGTCCGAGTGCTGCTCCACCCTGGGGGCGGCCTGGGGCAGCCCCTGTGAGCCCTGCGAGATCGGTCAGTCCAGAAACACAAACAGATTCACTAAAAAATAAAAAAAAAGCAGAAATCTGATTTTTATACTTTTGTCCTCTTGCTCTTCAGACACCGCTTGTTCGAGAGGATTCGCACCCGTCAATGTCTTCTTGCTCTTAAGACACCGCTTGTTCGAGAGGATTCGCACGTATGAAGGGCCTCGTGTGTGAAGGTAAGAACATGTAACAACAATTTAACAAGTTTTTTTTAGTGTCCCTCAGTGTGAACGAGTATTAACAATTTAATTTAAGTTTTTTTTAGTAAGAATGTTAGAGATGGAGCTACCAGGAGAAAGAGAGGAGACATATGGATGCAGTGAGGGAGGACATGCAGATAGTTGGAGTCAGAGAACGAGATGCAGAGAACAGGGAGAGATGGAAATCGCTGTGGCAACTCCTGAAAAAAGTTGAAAAAATTTTTCAAAAAAAAAAGTTTCAAAAAAAATTTCATTTTTTTCCAAAAGAAAATTTTCAAAAAAAGATTTTTCAAGAAAA